GCCTTGCATGCATGAGGCCCTGGGTTCGATTCCTCAGCACCACATAAGCAAAAAGAAAAAAGCCAGAAATGGCACTGTGGCTCAAGTGGTAGAGCACTAGCTAGCTTTGAGCTGAAGAGCTGAGGGACAGCGCCCAGGCCCAGAGTTCAGGCCCCACGACCAGACCTAAAAACAAAACAATCTTCCCAATCTGCCTCCCATGTAGATGGGATTACAGAAATGTGCCACCTCCCCTGGGTTTGTTTTGTTTGGGGGGAATCATGTTGAGACAGGGTCTCACTGCATAGCCTCCATTCTCCTCCAGCTATAGTGCTAAGATTATAAGCTTGCATTTCCACACCCACTCTGGATCCTTAAAGCTTTTTTATATATATAAAATGGCACAGGAATTTGAATTCCAAATAATGATTAGTAACATTATCTAGTCTTTATCTCCTAGGCTAGTGTTATTTGTTTTTTGTTTTATTTTTTATTTCTTTTCCTGGCACATCAGTCAAGCCCTCACCTCTGAGCCACATCCCCCAGCCCCCCTCTGGCTTTTTTGAGCCAATTGAAAGCACACAAACCCTCCAGATCTCCAGGGCTGCAGGTGGTCAGCAGACCCCAGGCTGCAATGGTTCTCTGTGACCTGGAGCTGCCAGGCTCCTGGGGGCTGTTTCAAGGACTTGGGGGCCCGCAGCCACGCTGGTGCACTCAGGCATAGGTATGAGCGAGGGCGTCCACCTGTCCTGGCTGGCGCGTGTACTGATGTCTGTGCCTGCATCCTAGCCGTCCTGCAGGGCGAGTACTTGGGGCAGAAGGTGGCGGTGAAGAACATCAAGTGTGACGTGACGGCCCAGGCCTTCCTGGACGAGACGGCGGTGATGACGTGAGTGCCCAGCGCTAGAGGAGGGGGTTGAGGGCCCTGGGATGGGGTTCCAGATGCATCCTCATAGTCCCCCCACACACACGCCACTTGCACACCCTCCCCCAGGAAGCTGCAGCACCGGAACCTGGTGCGGCTTCTGGGTGTGATCCTGCACCAGGGGCTCTACATCGTCATGGAACACGTGAGCAAGGTGTGTGGGGCGGGGCAAGGATTGGGGTAGGCGTGGTCAAACGGGGCGGGGCACGGCCCAGGCAGTGTCTGGGAGGGAGGGGCGGGGCATGCGGACGTGGTCAGATGAGGGCATGTGGATTGGAGCAGCGTGTGGGCGTGGTCTAACAAGGGGGTGGGGCATGCGGACGTGGTCAGATGAGGGCATGTGGATTGGAGCAGCAATGTGGGCGTGGTCAGACAGGGAGGGGCGGGGCATTGTGAAGTCCTGTGCCTGGGCGGGGCAGGCGGGGCCTGGGCGGGGCAGGCATGGCTTGGGGGGTAGGGGCGTGTAGATGTGGTCATTTGAAAGGGCAGGAATTGGCTGGGCGCCGGTGGCTCACGCCTGTCATCCTAGCTACTCAGGAGGCTGAGATCTGAGGATCGCGGTTCAAAGCCAGCCGGGGCAGGAAAGTCCGTGAAACTCTTATCTCCAATAAACCACCAGAAAACCGGAAGTGGTGCTGTGGCTCAAGTGGTAGAGCGCTCGCCTAGAGCTGAAGAGCTGAGGGACAGCGCCCAGGCCCAGAGTTCAGGCCCCAGGACCGACAACAAAAAAATTAAGAAAGGGCGTGAATTGGACCAGCCCCTCATACTGTTTACCCCCAACAGGGCAACCTGGTAAACTTCCTGCGCACCCGGGGTCGGGCCCTTGTGAACACCACGCAGCTCTTGCAGTTTTCTCTGTGAGTGGGGCTGCCAGCAGGGATGGGTTCCAAGGTCAAGGGGAAACTGAGGCACGGAGCTGGCCTGATGGAGAGCACTCGGCCCCTGTGCGCCTCCCCAGGCACGTGGCCGAGGGCATGGAGTACCTGGAGAGCAAGAAGCTGGTGCACCGGGACCTGGCCGCCCGCAACATCCTGGTCTCCGAGGACCTGGTGGCCAAGGTCAGCGACTTCGGCCTGGCTAAGGCCGAACGGAAAGGGCTGGACTCGAGCCGGCTGCCGGTCAAGTGGACGGCACCCGAGGCGCTCAAACATGGGGTGAGCCCCTACTATGCCCTCAAGACTTTGGGGAAGCCCAAAGCAAGTTTGGTGTCCCAGCTGTGCTGTGTGACCTAGCCATGTCACTCAGCCTCTCTGAATCTGCACGGGACCTGGTGCTACCTCTCCAGGAAGCATGACATCCTCTCTCTTCCTCAGTTTCCCCATCTCTGAAGCAGGCAATGGCTCCCAATGGAGGGGGAGACTAACAGCTTCCTGGATCAGGGGGGTCTAGCAGGGAGTTTTAGGAGACCAGGGAGTGAGGGCCACCCAGGAGGGCTTCCTGGAGGAAGCACAGTGGAGGAAACCCCAAAGGGCCCCTCCTCACCCTAACTTTGGGCCCCACAGAAATTCTCCAGCAAATCAGACGTGTGGAGTTTCGGGGTGCTGTTGTGGGAAGTCTTCTCATACGGACGGGCTCCATACCCTAAAATGGTGAGCAGGGTTCAGAGGATGCACCGGGTCACCTGGTCCAGACCCAGGCCCTGACCCACACCACACCCCTTTCCATCTACAGTCCCTCAAGGAGGTGTCAGAGGCTGTGGAGAAGGGGTACCGCATGGAGCCCCCCGAGGGCTGCCCAGGCCCCGTGCATGCCCTCATGGGCAGCTGCTGGGAGGTGGAGCCCGCCCGCCGGCCGGCCTTCCGCAAAGTGGTGGAGAAGCTGGCCCGGGAGCTGCGGGGCATGGGCGCCTCGGCCACGGTCACAGGGCAGGATGCTGACAGCTCCGCTGCCACCCGAAGCCAGGATCCCTGACCCCGTCCTGTGGGACCAAGGGGACCAAGAATGTGGAGACCACAGGACAAGGACTGGACCAGGCCAAAGGAGGGTCCACAGGCCAGAGCCGCCCTCCCAGCCCCAGGCAGGGCAGACCTGGCCAGGGGATCTCTAGGCACCACAGACCAGGAAGTGGGGGGCCATTGCCTCCATAAAGATCCATTCTGAGGACTGTGGTGTTGGTGTCTCTCTGTGACCCCTGAAAGCCCCGCCTGGGGGCCTCTGTGTCCCCTCTCCTGTCACCTCCTCACCCCCTGATCTCCTGGCCTCCACTGGACGGTGACCCTCAACACTCCACCTCCCACCCCCACAGGGTCTACCGCCAGGGAATACAGTTCCCTAGGTTGCTTCCAGGCTGGGAACCATTGGCCATCTGCTTTGAGTCCCCTGTGAGATAACTCTGCTCACCCCTGGGGCCCAGGCTCTGATGTTCTAGAAAAAGCCAGTGGCCCTCAGGGGCCCTGTCTCCTCTTCCTGTACTGCCTGTGGGGCTTGAACTCTGGGCCTGGGTGCTGTCCTTCAAATCTTCAGCTCAAAGCGAGTGCTCTACCACTTGAGCCACTGCACCACTTCTGGTTTCCTGGTGGGTCATTGCAGATAAGAGTCTCACAGACGTTCTTGTCTGAGCTAGCTTTGAACTGTGATCCTCAGATCTCAGCCTCCTGAGTAGCTAGGATTACAGGCGTGAGCCACCAGCGTCTGGCTACTGTCTGTTTTCTCTGCTCAGAGATGGGGCTCTGTTGCGGGCCTCTCTCCATTTGGAGACACCACCTTGGTCCTCCAGCTGTGCCTCGCACACGGGGTGGGCCCCTCACTCAGCACTCTCAGGTCCGATCCGCCCGTGTCCCAGGAGGTGAGGGCTGGGGAGGCCCGGGTGGCCCAGACAGTGCAGGATGCTTCCCCCGGGTGTGTGGGGGGAGTGGCAAAGCGAAAGGCAGCCTGGCCTATATAGAGAGATCCAGAGCCAACTTAACTCCATCAGGACAGTGTCATGACCCAAACCTAGTGTCACAGGAGACATTTGGACAGAGAGAACACCATCCTGCCACCCATGTACCATGTGCCACCCATCCGTCCACCCATCATCCGTCAGTCCATCCAAACACCCATCATCCGTCAATCCATCCAAACACCCATGCTCATTACTCCACAGACCTGACTGAACGCATGCCCAGTGCCAGGCTCTCTGATGCTGGACAATCCCACAGACCCTGCTGTGGCTAACTTGCAGGTGACACCATCCTGGGACACCAGCTGCCAATTATCCAGGGGCCTGGCACCGGGCCAGCGCTTGGGGACAGCACCGAGGGCCAGCTCAGGGGCCTGAGTGCTGCCACCCTGTCTGCTGCTCACAGTGGCTGCTTCCACACTGACACACGCTGGCTCTCGTGTATGACTTGGGGTCAGAGGCTATTTCTGGCACATGGGACTTTGGTGCTCAAAGCAGAAAGTCCCTGGGTGACCAGACCAAGTGGCTCCTACTGGACAAGCTGGCCTGACTCAGGCCTTAGAAGGCTGCACCCTGGCCCCAGAGCCCAGTGAACCTAGCTGGGCATCTGGTAGGGCTGCTCTCCCTGCTCTGCCCTTTGTCTCTAAGCCCCCTGCCCTCCTGGCCTCACCCCCCCACCACACACACACACACAATCCTGCAATACCGGAGCCATAGCTGGCTCCTGGTCTCTAGTCACTTAGCCCTGAATTGTACTTGTGCAATCCTGGGCCCGGCTCCTGGCTCTGTGCTGTGTGATGTGTGCCTAGACATGGCTTGGCCCTTCTGTCTCTGTCTCTAATTCTGTCCTGTCTGTGTCTGTCTCTATCTGTCTCTGTCTTGTCTCTGTCCTTTCTTTGTCTCTGTCCTATCCATCTCTCCCTCTGTCCTGTCTCTATCTCTATCCTGTCTCTGACTCTGTCCTATCTCCGTTTCTGTCTCTGACCTGTCTCTGTCTCTGTCCTGTCTCTGTCTTCCTATATCTGTTTCTATCTCTGTCCTGACTCTGTCTCTATGTGTCTCTCCCTCCCTCCAAAGCCAACATCAGAGATGTCTCCATCCCTGGCCCCACATCTTCTCCCAGCATTACTAAATCCATCTGGCCCCCACTCCCCCCAGAAGTGTCTTGGTGCCCCACCCCTCCAGGCTCTCCTCCGGAAGTGCTCCCCATCTCTCCTGCCCTTGCCGTGCCGACCAGGCCTCTCTCCTCTTGCATGGACACCGGCTCCACACTCTGCCCACAGAGCACGCTTGTCCAAGATGCCACTGTGTCTCTTGCTCTAGAACCTCCCAGGGCTCCCATATACCCTCTCCTTCACCTCCAATCCTAGCTAGGGTCTGCACCCTTGCACTCTATTTTCCATTCCTCAACAGCAAACCCCCACCTGGCACACCCTGCCCCCCCCCCCCGCCTGAGTTTTCTCAGTAGGTTAATGACATGTGACATGGCACGCCCTGATTTTAATTCCCTCACCAAGCACCTGTCACTACAAGGCCGGCTCCATGACTTTCTGTTTTGTTCACTGCTGTGAATGCTATCTGGGCTTCATTAAGCGATCAACAAATGCCTAGTGAGTGAATGAACGAGGAACACCTATTCATTGTTCAAGACACAGGAAAAAAGCATGCCCCTACTATTTGCCCTGGTGGGAGGAGTTCACTGGCTTCCCCAGATCCCTTTCACTCTCAAAATCAAAGACAGTCTTTTTCTTCGTCCAGGTGATAAAAATGGTAACCGGGGACATTCGTTGAGCACTTCCTATATGCCAAACACAGCATGGCACTCTAGTTTCTTCATGTCACTCTGAGACCCCCGAGACCGCACCAAGTAGGTGCTGGTGTCACCAGTTCACAGCTGGCACTAGACTGGTGGCTCTTAGTGGCCCTCAGCTCCTCCCCCAGCCTTTCCCCCCAGTCAGAGGGTGAGTGGAGGCCTCAACTAATCACCAGCACTAAAACTACCCCTCGGGAAGCTGGCCATCAGAGACTGCTGCAGGCGGTGAGCATCAGGACAGGTGGCAAAGGAGGGGGGCAGGGATCCCCGGAGAGGACTTAAGCCCAAGAAGGTGGCCCATGGGGGCAGCATCCTGCCTCCTCCTCCTGGGGGTTCCTCAACATACAGGGACAAGGACCTTAGGACACAGACGCGAAGACAGAATGGAGAGGAGTGGAGGCAGAGACAGGCCACAGCAGACACTAGAGGCACCCGGGTGGGAGCCCATCCCCCAGCCGGCAGTGCTTCCAACTAGCTCACCACAGTCTGTCCTGCTGCTGTCTGCCAAGTGAGGGCCTGGCTATGTTCCTGAGCCAGAGAGAGCAGTTGGGGGATCGAGGGCGGGGGTACCTGGGACAGAGGAGCCCCAAGCCAGTTACAGTGCTCTCCCACCCGGATGTGTACAGCAGGGAGCTGGCAGGCAGGTGCATCTGCCTGAGGTACTCATGGGCACTGGGCAGGTGAGAGCACCCCGTTTCCCATGGCGGGGAAGATACAGGCCCTCCCCCCACACCCAAGAACCAACAGAAGAGAAACTGTCCTTCCTGACGCACAGGAAAAGCCAGCTGAGGCCCTGATGCAAGAGTAGAAGTTTGGCCAGCTGGGAAGGAGAAAAGGGATGCGGAGATGTGGTTAGGGCGCAGGCGCTTTCTCTGAGCTGAGTGTGAAGGGGTGAAGGGAGGCAGAGAACGGTGCTTCAGAGAACTGAGGAAGGCCTTGAATGGAGAACTGGGCTCAACTCCATGCCAAAAGAAACCAGCAAGAGGGAGGAGGAATGGCGAGGAAGGCCTGGATGCGGGGAGGATGGAGGGCTGCAGGCCGGGGTCCCCTTAACACGGTGCCTGTGGGATCTGGGGGGCTGGAGAGGCTCTCCAGGTGGAGTGTTTAGGTTCGTGTTCCGGAGCTGTGGCAGCCTCGAGACTCCCCGAGGCACCGGCTTCTGCCATTTATCCACCCTCCAGCCATGCACCTATCCCCGGAGCCGTGCCTGGGCCCCAGGTCCCCCATGGCACCAGGCTTCCTACGCTTCCTGGGACCAGTCCTGGGGGGATTCAGGTGTTCTTGGGGTCCCATGCCTTTGGGCCAAGGTTCACTGACAGCTTCATCCTGGAGGAGCCGGTGCAGGATCAGGGCAGGGCCTGGCTGCCAGCGTGAGCCTGGGGCCCCTCCAGCTGCCCTGCTCAGCTGGAGCCCAAGGCCTGACACAGGCCTGTGACAGAGGCCACTGTCCAGCCAGGCTGTGTGGGAGCCCATCCTCCCCAGCCTCAGTCTCCTAATCCGAGCCATGGTGGATCCTGCAGCAGGAGTCAACAGAATGTGGACTGCGAGTGTGGACAGACACAGCCACTCGGCCCGCCCCAGGCCGGCGCCCACGGCCACACTGTCCTCAGTGACAAGACCCGTGGCGCTCCTGCACCGGCTTCCTGTCCCCACCACAGCAGGCCCTCCCACAGCCAAGGCCCAAAGCGGGCTTCCTGAGTCAACCAGCAGGGGTGGACAGGTTTCCTGCCACACTGTCCAAGGCAGACGGTGATTCTGTGTGCTGGGACAGGGTGAGATGGCCATGGCTGGGGGGTCCAGGGGAGACTGTCAGAGGCCGGCCCATGCTGGGCAAGGTCTATGTCTGCCACACGGCACCCAATGCTGGTATTGCTTGTGGCCCTTTGACCCTGGGCCATGTGTGTATCATCGTCTGGCCAAGGGCAGGGCTGGCCTCTGCCCTGATCCATGCTGCCACGGGGCCCTGTCTCCCCAGGGCTCAGCAGAACATAAGTGGGTGCCACCCTCCCACAACAGGGCTGGGCTCTAAACAGACTGCTTGGGGCTGGGCGTGACCTGTGACCAAGGGGCGGGAGGGGGGGGAAGGAGGGCAGGCTGAACCCTGTCTGAGCCAGGGCCTAGAGCCTGGAGAGGAACAACAAAGCTGCAGGTGGCTGAACCCCCACACAACCAGGTGCTGCCTCCAGGTCCCAACCCCCAAATGGCCACTGGCCCATTCCCAGGTGCCCCTCACACAATCTGGGGACCCCTGAGCCCAGGGCCTCCTTGAATGGACTTCCAGGGGAGCCAGGAATCTGAATAATGACAGACACACTCAGGTCCCCAGTGGATGAGTTTTATTCTGCGTCACTTACAGAACAGTGGGCGGCACAGGCGGCCACTCTCGGCCACCCTCAGCATGTGTTCTTTGATCTCACACCAGGGTGGCTAATGGCTGTGTGCAGAGATGAGGCCCCACCCCGAGATTCAACAGACCCAGCATAGGGGTTTCCTGTGCTGTAGCCTCAGACCTAGCTGGGTGCTAGGTCGCTCTTTATGGATGTGCCTGCCCTGAATGTGGACAGCATGCCAAACACAAAGAACTTTCCCATACCATCTGCACTGTGGCCATGGAGCTTGTCCACGCTGCCTCTGACCTCCCCACCCACCATCTACCCATCCAATCCATCCACCCATCCATCCATCCATTCTCCCATCTACCCACCATCCATCCATCCACTCATTCACCCGTCTACCCACCATCCATCTACCCATCCACCCATTCACCCATCCATTCATCCTCCCTCCATCCATCTATTCATCCATCCATTTATCCACCCACCCACCATCCATCTACCCATTCATCCATCCATTCACCCAACCACCCTCCAGCCATCCACCCGCGATCCATCCATCCATCCATGTACCCATCCACCTACCATCCAACTACCCATCCATCCATCCACCCATTCACCTATCCACCCACCATCCATCAACCCATCCATCCATTCACCCATCTACCATCCATCCATTTATATCATCCACCAATCACCCATCTACCCATCAACCCACCCATCCATCCACCATCTACCCATCCACCCACCACCTATCCATCCATCATCTACCCAACCACCCACCATCCATCTATCCATTCATCCATCCATTCACCCAACCATCCTCCATCCATCCATTATCCACCCACTAATTCACCCATCTACCCATCTATCAACCCACACACCCATTCATGCAATGAACCACCAGGCACCAGGCAGAAGAGACATGGCAGTGAAGATGACAGCAGGTTTATGGGCCAGGGAGAAAAGAGTGGGCTGTGTGGTAGTTTACAACAGGTGTTCTGGTTCAAAGGCAACAGCTGTACAGAAGACAGCTAGTGACCAAAGAGAAGGGAGGCATCAGTGGGTGGGGCCTGGTCACCCCTGCTTATCCCGCCGCCTGCCACGGCAGCTGGAGGACAGGTGTGATGATCCCTCTGCAGCCCTGCTCTCCTTTCCCAGGAGAAGAGCATGTGCAGAATTGGCCCCTAGGCCAGCCAGAGGATCTGCAGGGTGAGGTTTGCTCCAAACCTCACGGCTCTCCCCCTCCCCAAATACACAATCCATCAGGCCTCTGCACTGTCCCAGGCCCTCACCGTGGAACCCAAGTGCCTCCACCATGGCCAGGCTGGGCGAGAGGATGCAGGAAGCTGGGGTAGGGCTCTCGGGTGCCTGTGGCTCAAGTTTCTAAGTCAGCACAGGCCAGGATGCAACTGGGGAGGTGGAAGGAAGACTAGGCATGTCTCCATTGGAGCGGACAAGATGCAGACTTGAGTAGGAAAAGCAGTCATAAGCTCTAGTTCCACTGATCTATGAGAACCACCTGTGATGCCAGCAGGCAGGCAGTGGCTGTGTCTTCCCCAAGTTGAATAGAGGTGCCAGTCTGCACCACCCACGGGGGGCACAAAAGGACCTAGTTAGACAGAGCCATAGTTCTGACTCTTCCTTTTTCTTTTCTTTTCTTTCTTTCTGTCAGTTGTGGGGCTTAACCTCTGAGCCTGGGCGCTGTCCCTCAGCTCTTCAGCTCAAGGCAAGTACTCTACCACTTGAGCCACAGCACCACTTCTGATTTTCTGGTGGCTTATTGGAGATAAAAGTCTCATGGACTTTCAAGATCGGGCTGGCTTTGAACCGTGATCCTCAGATCTCAGCCTCCTGAGTAGCTAGGATTATAGGCCTGAGTCACCGATGCCATGCCTAAAGCTAGTTACCAACTGAAGCTCACAGACAGTTCAGGCTGGGTCTGAGGCCCTTTAAACCAGGAAACAGAGTTTCTTGTTGGCCTGGGCAGCCTCTGCATGAAAGTGTGGGTTGAGGTCTCTTGAACAGAGCTTAGGAATCCCAGACCAGAGGAGGACTGTAGGAAGGGTACTTGCAAAAATCCAGCCCACTGATGGGTGGGAGGGGTCAGTTCCCCTGGGCTGCTATCAGACAGTACCGAGGAGCCAGGAGCACCAGATTGACCAGGACATGTTTATTAACCTGGGCAGGACTGGCCCAGACTCCCTATGTCCACACAGGGCTGCCCCCTGCGCCCTGCAGTGGAGAGTGTCCATTCTCTTGAAGTGCCAGGGGTTACCTGGACCCAGTCCCTGCACCGCCGCCCCCCCCCCCCCGCTAGAACTTCTGGTTCTTGCTCAGCCGATTGTGTCTCCAGATGTTCTGTTTACGCAGGAGGCGCCAGTACTCCCGGCTCTCCGGGTCCAGCTCTTCCAGTGTCTTTGGGGGGCCCACGTTCATCTGGAACAACCTAGCAGTGGGTGGGAGTCAGGGGTACAGTGATCCTCTGGTCTCAGGTGTCCTGAGTCCTTGCCCAAAAAGGGCCAGGGCTGGGGACAAGTCCCACCAGGAGGCTGTGACCTTGAGGTTCCCTCCTACTCCCTCATTGGCAAGTGACAGGGCCACCCCCCCCCCAACCCTGGTGATGTCTGCAGTGGGCACATGCCCCATCCTGCCCCTGAGCCCTGTCCAGCAGAGAACATGTTTGCAGTGTCACTCAACCCTTTTGACCCTTGCCCAGCTCTCCAGGCTTTCCAGGCCCTGCCACTGCTCAGCACCCCACAAAAGCTTCCCAGCAGCCTACAGGGTCTTGCACAACCTGCCCCATCTCCTCCCTGACTCCCTCCTCCCTCTATCCCAGCACTCCCTCCGTTCCAGGCACAGGGTCCTCCATTCTGCTCCCCCAAATACACCAGGCTCAGTCCTGTCCCAGGGCCTTTGCACAGGCTGCACTGGCTACTTTTGAAATCCCTTCCCATCCATGTTTCACCTCCAAGACCCTTAAATTGATTAGTTAAGCCCCTCACCCTGCTCTCACTCACCCCTCCAGCCCTTCCAGTGAACACAGTCTATATCTCCTGATCCATTCCTCTGCTAGCTCCATGAAGAGGACATTTTGCTTTTTTTTTTTTTTTAATGTACTTTTGAGCTTAGGACAGGACCTGAGCCAGTCAGCCCAATAAATGTTTGCTTAAGGAAAGATCAAAAGGCATTTCAGGTGCTTGGTATGGGATTGAGTCTGCCCATCAAGTCTACAGGGCTGATAGCTGGTGTGCCCATTTGGAAGGTGGCCTTGACCTTCAAGGGGCAGAGGAGTTGTTTGGCCCAGGAAGCCACAGCTGGACTCACTCACCACTCAGGATACTCAGCATCCGGCTTCAGGACCACATCCTGGCCCTCCTTGTAGATGTTGACGCCCATGGCGTGTGTGGTGAGCTTGACGGGGTCTGTACACACGTCTGGATCCTTCAGCACCTGGCTGACCATGCCACCTTTGCCACCTTTGGCGCCCTTCATGACTGGGGGGGGGGGAGGAGGGACAGGGGAGTCGATTCAGACCAGCTCCACACACTTGTCCCTTGGCCACACCTGGACTCTTCTTCATTTAAAGGGGGTAGTACGAGACTTCAAACCTCAATCCTCAGTCCTGAGCAGCGAGGATTACAGGCAGCCCCCAGCTTTCATTTCTTTGTAATGCTAATTTAATTTTTCAAGAAATCCACCAGCTTGATGTGTCTTTAAAGTCTAACATTTGCCACTTCCTCCCACGAAAGAGAGCAGGCAAGACGATCTAAAGGTGAGATATAACAATATCCGATATTTAAGGTTATCTTTACAATTCGGGGTGATGGCCAGACCGCCTCCGTTCACATAGCAAATTGGAGACAGAAACAAGATAGGAATCCCCCACGCCGAAACCCACATAACCCTTATCCACCTCGACCCTCATCACCAGCTGCTCGGACCCACGCCCGCGCATGCGCACCCAGCGCAATCACGCCCAAGTTGAGTCCAAGCGCTCAAATTAAACCTCTCAAGCTGCGCGTGCGCATACCGCCGGCCGCAGCTGCCGCTTTACGCTTGCGCAGTAGTTCCCAGCTCCACCTCCTCAGCCGGCGCCTGCGCACTGCCTACTCCCCGTGCAACTCACCATCCCCGTCACGGTCCCCCGTAACGCGGCTCACCCGGTTTTTTGGCATACTCGCGGATCAGCAGTTTTCTGGGAGCTGTGAAGTCTAGATGCTCCCGAGTCGCCCAACCGGCCCACGTCCGCGTAGCCCCGAAGAGACGTCCGGCCGCCATGACATATGCCGGCTGCTTGCACGTGCACGCTTCCGGGAGACGTCAGCGACCCCGGAGGTGCTTGGAAGTTGTAGGCCCTCAAGGACTTCTGGGAAATGTAGTCTTCTTAATTTTAGTTGTTAGTATAACTTTTGTAGACCTCAGTTCCTGTGTAAGAGTCTACAGTTACATATTTTACTTCAAATGTCACACCATATGTATTTCTAAGTATATGGAGCAATTCTAATTGCTATTCCGTGAGCAGTTATTTAAAGCCTAAAAACAAGAAAAGCAAAATACTTTGATAGACTATATTACAGACATAGTCTAAATCTTAAATCTACTCTAACCTGCTAGATCTCATTCAATCCTCACAACTAGGATTTAGGTACTATTATAATCTCTCATTTATAACCCAGGAACTGAGCCGGGCAAGGTGGCTCATGCCTCTAATCCTAGCTTTCAGGAGGCTGAGATCTGAGGATCACAGTTCACAGGAAAGTCCATGGCATGCTTACCTCGGATACACTACTCAGGAAAAGCTAGAAGTGGTGCTGTGGCTCAAGTGGTAAAAGAAACTCAGGTACAGAGCCCCAGGCCCAGAGTTCAAGCCCCAGGACCAGCAGAAAAAAATAAATAATTGAGACTCAAAGAGCCATAAGTTCCTAGACCCACCCTATAGCTGGAGCACACCATACTGTCTTGCTGCTATGAGCCAAACCCAAAGTCCAGCTTTAACAAGCTTCCTCCCATAGCTTCTGGTGTTCCCCAAATCCCAGAGACTATCCTTCTCTCTCTTTTTAATGTGTCCCAGCCCCATTTCTTCCCATGTGCCATCACAGCCTAAGAATCAGCCAGTGATGAATAGCCTTGCTCTTTTTTTTTGTTTTGTTTTTTGTCAGTCGTGGGGCCTGAACTCTGGGCCTGGGCACTGTCCCTCAGCTCTTCAGCTCAAGGCTAGCGCTCTACCACTTGAGCCACAGCGCCACTTCCGGCTTTTTCTGCTTAGGTGGTGTTGAGGAGTCGAACCCAGGGCTTCATGCATGAAAGGCAAGCGCTCTACCACTGAGCCACCTTCCCAGCCCCAATATTCTTGCTTTGTGCAACAGAGAGGTCAATCCAGTTTCCCCCAGCGATAAAGAAAGAAAGCCTGGGATTCGAACCCCGGTTCCCCAAAGAACTGTACTCCTAGCGCGCCTTCCCTACCCGGTGAGGCAAGATAGGCTCAAGAACTACATTTCCCAGTAGGCACCGCGTGAATACGCATGCGCAGTGGGTCCAGGCGGAGAGGCTGTGAGAGCGAGCTGAGTGGACGCGGGGGTGTCGGGGGTTCGCGGGCGCCGACGGCTTCTGAGTGAGCTGCGGGAGCTTTGCGGGGCCTGGCCCGGCCGCGGGGGGTCCTGGGGACCGCGCGGGGAAGAGACGGCCTGGGTCTGAGAAGTGAGTGTCTCGGTGCTGCGCGGCGGGGTCTGGGGCCGGTTTCGGGGTGACCTGAGCGGCGGGAGGTCTGTCAGAGTCTGGGGTGCGGGTTCTGCGGGCTGGGGCTGTGTCCCCTCCCCTGGGAGGGTCCGAGGTCGCGGGGCGGCACTGGGCGAACGCCGCGGAAGGAGGATTCGGGAGAAAGGGTTCGGAGCCCGCCGCGCTCGGCCTCTCACGGCCGCCCTCAGTTTGCTCCCCGTGAAATGGGGAGCCGGGCGCGGGGAGTGGGGGCCCGGTTCTACGTGCTACACGACTGTCATCAGCCAAGAACCGCCCCTGCACACCCACTCACTCACACACACACACACACACACACACTTCATCCTCTCTTTCAGCCGCATGAAGACGCCAGGGCCTCCCCCATGGAGTTCCTAACCACCCCGCAGCCCTCCTCAGGGCCTCCAGCCATGGATTTGGGGGAGCCCAGGGACTCCCTCGTGCCCTCTGAGACCCGCAGCCCTGACAACAGCCGGTGGAACCCTCAGCCTGGAAGCCCTGGCCTGAGTCAAATGGACCTGGACCCGTCAGGCATTCAGGATCTAGTAGGACAGTTGGAAAATCTGCCAGGAGATCTGGGGGGCCTAGCCCCTGATGGAGCCCCCTGCCCTCTGCACATTGCCACCGGACACGGCTTGGCCTCCCAGGACAAGGAGGATGCCCACGGGCTCTTGTCAGCAGAGGCTGGCCGGGAGGACCTGCTGGACCTCCTGCAGTGTGAAGCTGACTCTTCTTCCCAGCCTGGTCCCCAGGAGCCCCCCCAGCCGGCCCCTCGCCTGTTGCAGCCACCTGGGGATCCCGATGGGGAACCTGGTCCCCCAGAGTGGACAGAACAAGAGGACAGCAGAAGTTCAAGCAGCTCCCCGGAGCCCTGGCTGGAGACAGTGCCTCTGGTCACACCTGAAGAACCACCTGCTGCCAGTGCCCAGGTAGTATCTGGGTATTTCTCCAGCAGGTGCCTCGGAGGTCTGGAGCTAAACAGGGGGACTGAGGTCTGGCGTTCTCTCTCTTCTTCCAGAGCCCTGAGACCCTGGCCTCGTGCCCTGCCCTCCAGGAGGGTGAGTGTCCTCACATTCCAACCCCAGACTCCATCCCAGGGCGTGAGGGTTTCCAGGACCAGAACCAGACTCTCAGAGTTGGCACAAAGTTTGCCAATAACGATGAGGGCTAGGCTAGGTGGCAATGGCTCACACCTGCAATCCCAGCTTCTCAGGAGGCTGAGATCTGAGGAGTGTGGTTTGAAGCCAGCCTGGGAAGGAAAGTCCAGTGAGACTCTTATGTCCAATTAACCACCAGAAAATGGGAAGTGGCACTGTGGTAGAGCATTAGCTTTGAAGGAAAAAGCTCAGAAACAGCGCCCAGGCTATGAGTTCAAGCCCCATGACTAACAAAAAAGAAAAACAAATGAGGTCTAGAAGCCCCTTCAAGTGGTTTTCAGAAGATGGGTAATGACCAGGGAGAGCCTGAGTACTCATATTGAACCACAGTGAGCACTGAGTACGAGAGCAGGTATGGCCACTGGCAGCACTCGATTCTAGATTAAAGGTTGGCACGTGACCATCTGCTGGCTGAGACCAGCCTTGGTCTGCTCTGGTAGATCTCATGAGCTAATAGTGGCTTGTTTTTGATGGTATTGGGGGTTTGAACTTAAGGCTCCACATTAGCTAGGAAGGTGCTCTGCCACTGAGCCACACCTCTAGCCTGACTTTTGCCCTTTTTTATATGGTTGGAAAACATTGACATTGACATGTGGATCTGGACCCGCAGAGGACTTTTTACCCACAGGGGGCACTGTGGCGGGGGCAGTCCTGGGGGGAACAGGGCCGATTGGCTCAAGACTTAACAGCCAGGAACCAAGCCACATGGATGGTTCTGGAACAGTGGGCAGAAACCCCAGGATTGACAGGACTGACTATGGCTTCCAAGGCCGACCTTCTCTCTCCCCACCACTGCCCTCAGTCCCTGGGCCCTGTGACCACGAGGACCTCATGGACGGCGTCATCTTTGGTGCCAAATACTTGGGTTCCACCCAGCTGGTGTCGGAGTGGAACCCACCTCCCAGCATGCGCATGGCGCAGGCACAGGAGGCCGTGGACCGCATCAAGGTGAGGAGGGGAGGGCGGTGCTGGTGGGGAGCCCTGGGTTGGGCGTGGTAGGGTGTCTGCGGCCTCGACTCCCATGCCTCCTGGCAGGCCCCGGATGGAGAAAGCCAGCCCATGACAGAGGTAGACCTCTTCGTCTCCACCAAGAGGGTCAAGGTCCTCACCGCTGACTCCCAGGTATCCAGCAGCCCGGGGAGGGCAGCAGGGTTGAGAGACACGGGGTCCCGGGAGGCCCTCAGTCCACTGCCCGTCTCTCCAGGAGGCCATGATGGACCATGCACTACAGACCATCTCCTACATCGCTGACATCGGCCCTGTGCTGGTGCTCATGGCACGGCGGCGGCTGGCACGGAGGCCGGGCTCCCAGGACCGTGCCTGCTGCCTGTACAAGATGATCTGCCATGTCTTCCACTCTGAAGATGTGAGCAACCTCTGTTATTGGCCTGGGCGGGGTGGTGGAATGGGGGGCCGGAGGTGGAACATGATCTGGTCTCTACTACTTCCAAACCTTCTGGTCACAGCTAGATCCTGACAGCCAGTCTAAGTCCCCTGCAGTCAGGGCCAAGGTATCTCCTCCAAGGTATCTCCTCCTTTGGAGGACTGTGTAAGTTGGGGCTTTGAAGTGTGCGTAGGAGTCGTTTCACAAGTCTTTACCCTTGAATGCCTGGGCTTACTGATCTCTGCCTAGCACACACACACCTTTGGTTAATGATCGGTAAATCCACACACCAGGGGTATTGGGGGTTTGAACTTAAGGTTCCACATTAGCTGGGAAGGTGCTCTGTTGCTGAGCCACACCTCTAGCATGGCTTTTACCCTTTTTTTTTGTTTTGGTTAGTCGTGGGGCTTGAACTCTGGGCTTGGGCGCTGTCCCTGCATTCTTCAGCTTAAGGCGAGTGCCACTGACTAGGTCTCCAATTAACTATGGACAGACAGCTCCCCCAAAATCTCCAGTGCAGAAAGCTTGTCTCCTGGAGATCTTAGCCCAAGCAGGGTCAGTGGGGGCTCAGTTCCAGGGACAGCCAAAGGATTGTGTTGGACCTGAAGGGAAGTGTGTGGGTAGCATGGCCCAGTACATACCACGCCTCCCACAGGCCCAGCTTATTGCCCAGGCCATTGGCCAGGCCTTCTCTGTGGCCTACAGCCAGTTCCTGAAGGAAAGCGGCATTGACCCTAGCCAAGTGGGCACCCGGCTAAGCCAGGGCAGCCCTGGGCCCGGCCACCTGCACAACGGGGACCTGGATCATTTTTCCAACAGCGAGAACTGTAGGGAGGTGAGTGACCTGCCTGCCCCCACCCCCACCCCCACCACTGCCACCAGCCACTGAGCTTCCTGGCTTGTTCCCACCAGGTGTGCATCGAGAAGCTCCGTGGTGAGGGCCTGGGCGTGGCCCTGGTGGAGTCCGGCTGGGGCTCTCTGCTCCCCACTGCCGTCATCGCCAACCTGATGCACGGGGGGCCCGCGGAGCGCTCTGGAGCCCTCAGCATCGGGGACCGCCTCACCGCCATCAACGGGGCCAGCCTGGTAGGGCTGCCCCTGTCTGCCTGCCAGGCTGCCGTGCGGGTGAGTTTTCCCTGCCCCTGGAGACACCGCATTCCCAGTGTCTGAGGGTAAACTGAGGCCTCAATCAGGCCACTGAGCCCCGTGGTCCCTAGGAGGTGAGGCCACACACGTCGGTGCGGCTCAGCATCGTGCACTGCCCGCCCGTCACCACGGCCATCATCCGGCGGCCACACTCCCGCGAGCAGCTCGGCTTCTGTGTGGAGGACGGCATCGTGAGCGAGCGGGCAGGCGGGCCGGACGCCCGGGAGGCTGAGGGTTGGCAGCTACCCCGCCACCCACTGGGTTCTGAGCACCCCGCCCTCCTCCCTCTCCCAGATCTGCAGTCTCCTGCGCGGGGGCATCGCTGAGCGTGGCGGCGTACGCGTGGGCCACCGCATCATCGAGATCAATGGGCAGAGCGTGGTGGCCACACCGCACGAGCGCATCATCCAGCTGCTCACTGAGGCCCACAACGAGGTCCCTCCACCACCACTCCCCCCCGCCCAACCCTTCCTCTTCCGTGTCCCACCCAGCCTTTTCCAGCCTTTCTAGGCCTCTCCTCTGGCTCCCCCTCTGCATTCTGTCCATCGTTCCCTGTCCTGACCCTGATCGGCACCTGTTCTGATTCTGCCTTCCTCATCCTGGCCCACCTCCCCACGCCCACCCTCCTCTCCTTTCTTGATCTCACCCCCCCACCCCCCCACACAAACACATCTTCATTCCTGACCCCGGCTTCCCCCACAGGTGCACATCAAGACGATGCCCGCGGCCACCTACCGACTGCTCACAGGCCAGGAGCAGCCCGTGTACCTGTGACCACCCGCCCCCCGCCCTGCACCACCGTGCCTTAATCCTGACTGGCTGCAGCCCCTCCTCAGCCAGCCAGGACCCCAAAAGATTCTTGACTCTATATTTTTTTTAATATTAAAAAAAATTACAAAGTTTGCTGGGCGCCGGTGGCTCACACCTGTGATCCTAGCTACTCAGGAGTTCAAGATCTGAAGATCGTGGCTCAGAGCCAGCCCCAGCAGGAAAGTCTGTGAAACTCTTATCTCCAATGAACCACCAGAAAACCGGAAGTGGAGCTGTGGCTCAAACTGGCAGAGCTCCAGCCTTGAGCAAAAGAGCCCAGGACAGCGCCCAGGCTCTGAGTTCAAGCCTCATGACTGGGGGGGAAAAAAAATTAAAGGTTTATTGAATGGACAAAGTGTCAGTCAGTTTGGGGGTCTGCAGGTCTGAAAGGAGAAGTGACCTCTTCTCCCCTTAGCCCCCTCAGAAGCAGCTGGAAACCAGCTCCATCCTCCGCCAGAGGCAAAGTTCAGAGGAAAGCAGGCCCAGCCCAGGGAGGTGTCAGCTGACAGCCCAGGAGGGGTCACAGGTCAGTGGCTGGGCCCCAGTCATAGCCCTCCTCATCGGAAGACTCCACATCTCGGGCACGGGTGAACTTCCTCCTCAGAGCTTCTCGTTCATACGTCCTGCCAACCCAAAAGGAGTTAGAGAGGCCGTGGTGGAGGGCGTGAGCTCCCCTACCATTCCCAGGGCCAACGCTAGGCACGTCAGTATGAACTGGGATGAGAGAAACAGCTTTGCTGGTAGGGCCTTGTGGACACACTCCTATGCATCCTTCTAAGCCCAGCTTCAATGTCTGTTCCTTCAACAAGTTCTCCCACAAAGAGGATCCCTGTCAGACAGCCTGAAGCCATAGGCTGGTTCTAGATCTCTCTCAGCTGGAGTTTGAGTCTAGGGGAAGGGGTTGAGCCCCCCCCCCAGGCCCACATCACCATGGGGAACCTGAAGGCTCTTACCGCATGCTGTCCTGGCGCCATTGGGCCTGGGGGTGGCGGCTGTCCACCTGGAGGGACAAAGTTTATGCTAGCCCCAGAGCCGTGAGTAACCCAGGCGGTGCAAGGAAGGTGTGCAACCCGGGTCAGCCCCATGGGGACCCTCCTTCCGGAGAGACCACCCCCTCACGCCCACCCCAATGAGAAGCCTGCCCACCTGGGTCTCCCGCTGAGCTGGGATTCTCCCATGATCCCTTGGGCCCAGGGACTCCTCCACTCGCACTGGTTCTGAGGACCGAGCCAGGGCAGGGGCTGGGGGTCCCTCGTCCATGTCCGTGTGGGGTCCGCCCTCGCCGTCCGTGTAGACACCGCCCTCGCCATCCGTCTCTTCGTAGTCACTATTGGCCCGACTGTCACAGCTGAGGTCCGCGTTGCTGTCCGCAAGGTCGCGGCGGGGCAGGTCAAGGTTGTCCTCCAAGGAGCCATCCAGCTGCGGGAGGCATGGGCGCGAAGGTCAGCTCAGGCTGAGCTGAGAACCCCCACCCCCTCAAACCCTGGTCCAGGATGCCATCTTCAAAACTGCAATCCTGCTGGGCGCCAGTGGCTCACGCCTATAATCCTAGCTACTCAGGAGGCTGAGATCTGAGGATCATAATTCAAAGCCAGCCTGGGCAGGAAAGTCTGTAAGACCCTCATAACAAATAAACCCCAAAAAACCCAGAGGTGGAGCTTGGCTTGAGTGGTAGAGTGCTAGCTCTTAAGCACAAAAGATCAGGGACAGCTGGGGCTGGGAAGATGGCTCAGTGGTAGAGCACTTGCCTTGCATGCCTGAGGCTCTGGGTTCGATTCCTTAGCACCATTTAAGCAAAAAAAGAAAAAAGCCGGAAGTGGCACTGTGGCTCAAGTGGTAGAGCGCTAGCCTTGAGCTGAAGAGCTGAGTGACAGCTCCCAGGCCCAGAGTTCAGACCCCACGACCGGACCAAAAACAAAAAAAAAAAAGAAAAAAAAGATCAGGGACAGCGCTTAGGCCCTGAGTTCAAGCCCCAGCACATTTCCCCCCCACACACACACAGAAGGACAAGCCCCAATCTCAGCTGCACCCCAGTCCCTACCTCCAGTCTTGAAACAACACTCCATTCCTTAACCTGAGTCCCAAGGTAATCTTGCTGCACCCCCCCGCCTTCCTCCGACCCTCCATGGCACCCCAAGATCTGTGGGGCCCCTGTGCCCAGCACCTACCTGGTCCTCGGCCGTCCAGATGGGCCGCGTCTGCTGCTCCCTGATGACAGCTTTGACTTCCTGGTACCAGGCATCGCTGGTGCCATGCAGGGGGACCGTGGCTGTGGAGGAAGAGGGCATCAGCCCAGCCCGAGCCTCGCCCTGGACTCCCCCACCCCAGGGCCCTTCCCCGGCTCCCACCAACCTGTGAAGAGATGGCCGCTGTGCTTCTGCAGCTTCTGCGCCTGCCCGTAGAGGCGGCGGGCACTGTGGCGGGAGGCGGGCGCCAGCCACTCCCGCAGCGCCTTGAGGGCCGAGCGGCTCTCGGGCCTGCAGAAGATGACGATGGGGTAGTACTGCACGTAATTGAGGCGCTCGATGGCTGACGGGGTCACATCCAGGAGTGCGTGCTTGTCCTGGGCGGGGCCCACGTGAGTGGAGGAGAGGGGAGTAGAGACAGAAAAGAGGAAAGAAAAGTACACCCAAGACACAAGGCAGTCCAGACAGCAGAATGGGGAGCCAGAGAAAGGCGGGGGGGGGGGGGGGGGATGGAAAGATGAAGATTCTGAGGTCAGAGTGGACCCCAGAAGCTCCCATCCTTATGGGACACCAGATGCCAGTCTGCCCTGGGTCCCCTCCACACTTCACAAAGGAGGGGGCAGGGGAGAGAACAGACCATGTGGTTGGATGCCTGGGCCTCAGTTTCCCCTTCGTGAGCAGGGCTGCACTTACTTTCTCTGCGATCACCCGCACTGTGTCCAGTTTGATGATCTTGGATGGGCTGTCTGTCCTCAGCACACTCTCTGTGGAAGGGAAGGTGACTCACCCCTCACACTCACCTCTAACCTGGCTGCCCCCCCCCCCAGCCTCCCCAGCTCAAGAACCCATCATGGCTCCCGTCATCCTGGAGGGAAGTTGGAGCAGCAGCAAGAGTTCATGCTAGCTGCAACCCAGCACTGGGTTCAGGGCAAAGGGGCTGGCACTGGCCCCAGTTGGCAGATAGAGGCTCTGAACCACAGAGCTAAAAGGCAGCTTCCCACACCGAAACACTCCAATCCTCGCAGGAGAGTTCAGAGTGCTGTCCCTCAGCTCTTCAGCTCAAGGCTAGTGCTCTACCACTTGAGCCACAGCGCCACTTCCGGCTTTTTTCTTTTTGCTTATGTGGTGCTGAGGAATCGAACCCAGGGCCTCGAGCATGCAAGGCAAGCGCTCTAACACTGAGCCACCTTCCCAGCCCCAATATTCTTGCTTTGTGCAACAGAGAGGTCAATCCAGTTTCCCCCAGCGATAAAGAAAGAAAGCCTGGGATTCGAACCCCGGTTCCCCAAAGAACTGTACTCCTAGCGCGCCTTCCCTACCCGGTGAGGCAAGATAGGCTCAAGAACTACATTTCCCAGTAGGCACCGCGTGAATACGCATGCGCAGTGGGTCCAGGCGGAGAGGCTGTGAGAGCGAGCTGAGTGGACGCGGGGGTGTCGGGGGTTCGCGGGCGCCGACGGCTTCTGAGTGAGCTGCGGGAGCTTTGCGGGGCCTGGCCCGGCCGCGGGGGGTCCTGGGGACCGCGCGGGGAAGAGACGGCCTGGGTCTGAGAAGTGAGTGTCTCGGTGCTGCGCGGCGGGGTCTGGGGCCGGTTTCGGGGTGACCTGAGCGGCGGGAGGTCTGTCAGAGTCTGGGGTGCGGGTTCTGCGGGCTGGGGCTGTGTCCCCTCCCCTGGGAGGGTCCGAGGTCGCGGGGCGGCACTG